AGACAATGGTCTCTGTACTGGCACTTAGCTTTGTTCATCTCTCCATTCCTGCACCAGTAACATATAAATGTAATAATAACTGTAGTGCTGAAGTGGGCTTTAAAATGTCTCTGAAGTGCTCCCTCTGGCTCTTCTTTTTCATAATGTTGTTAGCTGCTTTCGCCTGACTTCCTAGTAAATTCATTCTTAGGAATTTACATTCTTGTATTAACTTTATTTAAAACATAAAAAAGTGAAAAGAAATACACTTGTTTAAAACACATTTGTGAAGTAGAATATTAAAACCCAACCACAACACATTATTTATTGACTTATCCAAGACGTACATCCAAGTATGCATGTACCAGTTGGCAACTGTTGTTTCTCCCTTTCCCTTTGTGAAAATTTCAACCAGTCCCCAGACCATGGCTCTTGGATCCCTATGATTATTCCCATTTCTCAGACAAAGAAGTGATGGAGACGGAGACAGGAGTCAAGCCAGCTGTCTGGCAAAAACGCTTTAGGAATTTGGCAATTTCCATATATAAGGACCAATTCCACATCTTCCCTTTCTCTGGGAGCCTTCTGGGCAGATTCTGTCTGCCAAATTCTCACTTGTGTTTCAAAGCCACCGCTCAGCGTGCTGACCCTTTTACGCTGCCACCACCATCTGAGAGTTTCCTAACTCGATAGAGAAATGCTACACATAACCAGAGCTTGGCAGAGTGCTTCCCAAGAGAAACACAAGAGAACAGAATCTTGGGTCTGAACCAGAGAGGATTCAGCCCCCCTGTCTGTCTCTCTTAAGCCCTTCTTCCCATCCTGCTCACCTCCCCATTCTTGCTTTACACGCCCTACCACTTACTACTACGTTGCTTGGGCTTACTTTCCAGTTTTTACCAATTCTTATTTACACCTAAGCCTAATGTCTCCATAATCACAACAAAACTTAGAAAACACTTTGTTAGCCTATTTGGGATGCATTCTTCAACACACTTCCAATCCTTACTACCCCTATCATCTCCTAGGTTTGGTTTTTTAAAAATGAAATTTCAATTTGGTCCTATAAAATTTCCTGAGAACTAGGTGTTGCAGGAACACCCTCAGGTGACCCCCAAGAAGTCAAGTGTTTACACAATTCCCTCTCCTCACTTATGAGCTTTCACTCCAAAGCATGTAGCAATGGTACAAATATTTGAGTTCATTCTAGGTGGGCCTGGTCTAACCAGGTGAGACATTTAAGAGGGCGCAAAGCCTCCCCTGACGTTGCAAACAGCAAGTGGTAGGGCTCTCGTATCCCGGCTGTCTTTCAAGTTCCAACGCATCACAACTTCTACAGCCACAGGTGAGATGCCTGCTGAAGCCTAAGCTGTAAATCACAGGTAGAACCTCCTTTATTCAAACTTCAAATATGATGTCAGCTAGTGGGATCCTGGCAAGAGAATCAGCAGGCCGCATGTGGACGCAGAAACAGGTTAGATAATAAAAGGCATGGTTTTAAGCCACTGAAGGGGAGTGATTATTTTTATATAGCACTAGATGATTAATACAGCAGATATTAATGTTTTCTATAGGGACTTAAATGTTTTCTATAGGGACTTCCCTCACCTTTACTATTCACCAGCTTGCTAAGGATTCTTCTTTAAAGAAGTCTGCCCAACTCTTCCTCCTGTTCTTCATCTTTCCCTGTCTGGATATCTTTGTTCCAACTTGGTATCTGTTAGATGAGAATACATTTAAAGATAATGTTTTTGGAGATGGCATCGTGATACAGTGGTCTAAGCCACTGCCTGTGATAGCAGCGTTCTATACGCATGCCCGTCCCTGTAACCACTGCTCTGTTTCTGATCCAGACTCCTGCTAAAGTACCTAGGAAAGCAACAACAGATGTTTTAAGCACTTGAGCCCCTGCCACCCAGGAGGGAAAGTCAGGAGCTTCAGACTCCTGGTTTCATCTAACCCAGCCCCTGTCATTTCTGTCACTAGGAGATTGAACCAAAGGATGAAATATCTCTTTATGTCTCTCTTCCTCCACCGCCTCTTGCCTATTAATAAAATAAATGTTTGAAAGCAGTAATTTTCTTATAAAAGCATTTGTAATGTATTTTCTGTATCTTTGAAGGTACAACAATGACTTTGTTTTTTTGTTTTGTTTTGTTTTAAAGCTATTTGTGAATTTGAAACTCAGAGCTGAAGAAAGGGAAAGAGAGGGGAAAAGAGAGAGACAGATTCTCCATCCTCTGGTTCACTAAGTACGCAGCCACGGTGGCTGCCCTGAAGCCGGGAGCTGGCAACTCATCCAGGTCTCCCACGTGATGCAGGGGCCCAAGCACTTGGACCATCCTCTATTGCCTTCCCAGGCCATAGGCAGGGAGCTGGATTGAGGTCATGGACCGGGACTCAGATCATCACCTACATGGGATGCTGCTAGGCAAGGGCTTATCATGCAGTGCCACAATGTCAGGAATACCTTTGTTTTGCTTTCAAAGCTAAATGATGATCTTCACAATGAAGCCTGCCATGCTGGTTCAGCTCTGCTCCTTGGAGGCACGAGCTGCTCAAGGCTGACCTCTTACCCTTACATGTAACTTCTACTCACTTTGTAGAATCCTGCAACATCTCCCTTTGTTCCAAAACTTGTCCCAGGAAATGTCTCAGGAAATCCCAAGTTGCATTTCATTCCCTTCCTCAATTTCTAGGCCATTCTGAAAGTCCGTTCTCTTTGGAAACAAAATTTCTCTAGGCAGCTCACAGACTTCTAATAGTGAGTTCAGCTTTGCTCTCTATGCACCCCTTCCCTCTGGAGCATCTGCCACACAGATGAAAGCACATTTCTTGAGCTTCTTTTTGAGTTGCTGGCCAGGGTGAGGGTGGAAGACTTGACAGAGACATGATGCTAGAGCTTTCCATTCCCCTACCACCCAGTGCTAGATGACCAGCCAACTGGATCCTGGCTACTATGGCATGGGGTGTGGGAGCTTTTCCACTTTGGGGTTCTCAAGGCTTCCCAGGTGTGCACAGATGCAGATCGTCCCTTCAGCCCAACTGTGCACATCCTTGAGGCAACAGCCAGGCTCCACTTCACTCTGAGAGAGGTCAGTAGACTCTGGTATCCCACAGGTCACACTGGTACCCTCATAGCAGGAACTTTCTCTCTACAAGCTGAGGGATTCTTAGCTGGCCACAGAATCCTCAGTTCTCCTGGAAGCTACACTTCCTGTTCCTGGTGTGAATAAAGGCTCCCAGCACCACCTCCCTTCCTCAAAAAGCAAACTCAAGCACTCAAGACCCTCTCCAATGGAAGGATTCCTCCTAGCAGAGAGCTGCAGGACCCAGGAATACAGAACATGAACTTAGCTGGCCATCTTCCTGGAATGTCACTCCCTTGGAGCTGGAGACATGTGAACCTCTTTGTAGGGTAAAGGAAAGGAGCCAGGAGAGATTAAGAGATAGGCGATGTGCAGAAAGATGATTGCCAGAATAAATTTCTTAGAAAGACAGAAGGGGTGGAATTTATACTATAAGGAAAAGATTAACTCTGAGCAAGATAAACATGTGATCAAGTACTAGGGAAGAGAGCAAAGCTCCAGAAGTTTTGCAAGTAAGCCTGTAGGAACAGGAGTTCTGAAAGTCTGGTCCGTGGGCCAGGACCTCAGCGCCTCCTGAGAACTTACCAGGGACTCCAGTTCTCAGACCTCACCAAAGACCTAGTGAATTACAACTGTGAAAGAGGGAAACTGTGCCATAACACACACACACACACACACACACACACACACACACACACACACACACACACACACACATTTGAGAACCACTGCTATTGAATGTACAACATTAGAGAAATCTGAAAGTGTTTACAAATGATAACTGTTTTATCTCATAAGGATGAAGGTGATGTTAATTATATTCTAGGATTGATGATTTTAATATGGGGCTTGGGAAAGTAACATTCTGAAATACCCTGGAGGAAAGAAAAAAGTAAGGAAAAACAGAAAAGAAGGCTAGGAAAAATATCTGAATTTAGAGATGGGTCATCAGAGGGTCATCAGAGGCAGCTGTATTTTTTCATTTTTTGTAATGATTGCTTCAGCAACGACGCAAAGACAAAAGTGTAAGGAGCATATTCAGGAAGTCTCCAGTTAATATTCCTTTTTCCTTTACAAGGGTGAAATGTCCTGTATAAAATTCAACCATAAGGGGCTGGTGTTGAGGTGCATACAGATGCTGGTTCATGTCCTGGATGCTCCACTTCATATCAACTCCCTGCTCACAGCCTGGGGAATCCAGCAGAAAACATCCTGTGTGCTTGAGTCCCTGCTACCCACGTGGACTCAGAAGGGGTGCATGGCTCCCGGCCCCACTCTGGCCATTACGGCTGCCTAGAAGTAAACCAGCAGATGGAAGATCTCTCCCTCCTGTGCCTCTTTCTCTCTCTCTGTAACTCTTTCAACTGAATAAATAAATCATGAAAAATCTACCATAAACTAAAGGATGTTGACAATTTAAAAAAACTCATCCACTGCTACCAAGTTTCCTATTGGAAAATTACAAAATCTATGTCAGCATCACTATCCCTATTCTTGCTTTATCCAGAGAGAATAAAGTGCAGAGTACTGAAGAGGTTTGTCCAAGCTCAACAGTGAGATGTGCGTGACCAGGGGGAGCACCCTGGCTCTTCTGACTAATTGCACCTTATTCTTCTCTCCAAAACTGCACTACCCCTCCACCCCTCCAGGTGTTGGTAAGGCTTTTAGCTGAAAGGCGATGAGGATGACACCTGCACATTCAACAGGAATGAAACCATCAGGAAAGGGCAAAACAAAGACCAGTGTCTATTAGGGAGGCACGAGACCTACCCGTCTCATGAGATCACTGGACCCATAAATCATCCCAGCTGCAGGATTTCATGTTCATTCCAGATAAATCCACACTCCAATTAGAGGTTTGTGCTTTCGCATAGAGAAGCCATGGCATTGTTTAAAGCTGCTCTCGCACAAACAGGCTAAATAGCCTCTTACCTTTGTATTCTGCCAGGCACACACACTCGTAGCCATTAACCAGGTCCCTGCAGGTGGCCGCATTCAGGCAAGGAGCAGAGAGGCACTCATTGTACTCCTCCTCACAGTAGAGGCCGTGGTAACCTAGGGAACAGAGAGGGGACACTGTCAAAAGCATCCCAAATAAAACCCAGAGCAGATCACCTGCACTCACTGGGAAGTGCAGGGCAGACATACCAGATCTCAAAGAACCATGACTCTTGGGATAAAAATCACAAAACTCAGGGCCAGCGTTGTGGATGAAGGCCCTGCTTCCACCACCAGCATCCTACATGGCTATCAATTCAAGTCTACTTCCAATCCAGCTTCTTATGTGCCTGGGAAAGCAGCAGAGATGTCCTAAGTGTTTGGGTTTCTGCCACCCATGCGGGAAAGCTGGATGCAATTCTAGGCTCCTAGCTGCCACATGTTCAGCCCTGGCTATTGTGCCCATCTGGAAAAGGAACCAGCAGATGGGAGATTTCTGTCTGTCTAACTCTGCCTTTCAACTAAACAAAATAAATCTTTGTTTTTATTGTGTCATGAATGTGGGAGAAGGTCAAGAAGAATGAATCTGCCATGAACACAGCTTTTTGCAGCTCCACATCAGAGACGTGACCCCACTGGCCATCTACTGAATGGTTTAGCACTGCATATGCAATGGCACTGATGTTGGGGAGCCTGGTGTTTGAGCATGTCAGCCAACCAAGGATGGAACAGAGAGCACAGCAGAGTCTCCATCACGGGAGTAGCACTGCCCTCTGAGGAAGAAAACCCAACTTTTCCTCCACATCCATGAGCAAAGTCCTTTAGCTAAACGACATTTTATTTAAAAACTCTTCAAAAAGTTCACACTGAGCTAGGGTCTTTTTTGTTTGTTGAACCCTCTATTTCATAGAGCATTAAGTCTTTGGCTATCATGTGAATAAAAGTATGCTATCAAAGTAGGAAGGGGAAGAAAAACTAGTATTCCATTCTTAAAATTACATCTATGAATGACAGTGCTCTTTTATTGGTATCACATGAAGATGGGAAACAATGAAAATTGTGTTGGAGTCATTATCACACACTTGTTGTGATTCTGAAAATCTAATCTATTAATAAATTTTGGTTTTAAAAAAAACCAAAAAGTTAAAAACAAAAAACTCACGGAAATTGAATAAGAGTTAATTTTAATGCAGAGCATTGAAATCCATATAGTTCTGTCATCAAACACATTCTCCGTGAATTTTAAGACGCTGAAGCATTAATTTCAAAACTGTTGATACTGAAGAACACTTGCCTCCAAATAGTATTTTCCACAAACTTTTAAATGTAGCCTCACGTTCTCATTGTATTTTTTTTGACAATTTATTGTATGTATGTTTACTCACAGTCGACACCTAAGAGTACTTTTTACGGGGCACAGTGAAATATTTTTATGCATGGACACGGTATGTGACAATTACATTAATTTGTATATTTGATGCCATTCGTCATTGTGAGGATGGTCTCTACCGGCTCATCTGAGACACACACGAGACTGTATTCCATCAGTGACCCGAGCATTGCGAGTTACTCCTCCCGCCCAGTCACACCCTCCTCCTCAGCCTCCCTCCACTCCTCCTCTCTTTTCCTCTGGTCATCGCTATTCTACTCTCTATTTCCATGGAACTAACTTTCTAAGTGTTCACACAAAAGTGAGAACACAGCAGTCGTTTTCATTCTGCTCCTGACAAACTAGAAAAGAAAATTAGTTCAAAAGGTTTAAGCGGAATTCTAGAAGAAATGCATATTTTGGCTGTTTATTAGAAAATATAATTATATAATTGGAGTATTAAAAACTTCAATCCAATTGTTTAATGATTAAAAATATAAAAATAGAGGGATCAGATTTTGACAGAGTGGATAAAGGCATGACGTGTGACACCGGCCTTCCATGTGGGTGCCAGTTCATGTCCCATGATGCTCCACCTACAATCCAACTCCCTAATAGTGGCCTGGGATAAAACAATGGAAGATGGCTCAAGTTTTTGGGTCCCTGCACCCTTACGAGAGACCCAAATGAAGCTCCTGGCCCCTCCTGGCTTTGGCCTGGTCGCTCCTGGTCACTGAAGTCATCTGGGGAGTGAACCAGCAGATAGAAGCTCTCCCCACTCTCCCAATCTCTCTTTGTTCTTCTAACTCTGCCTTTCCAATGAATAAATACAAAAATTTCTTGATACAAATGGCTTTGTTTTTCTATTTGCAAGACAGGTGTTTATCCTAAAGGGTAAGACAACATTCTTTGAGATTCATTCGTGAGCGTTCAGCTGTTTTCAACTTTTAAAAACATGTATTCCTGCCAATTTGCAATGAAACCAAGCCATCATTGTCCAGCCCTGTCCAAACAATGAGAAACATGTGAGTGGCTTCAAAAACCACCCTGTGTTCATTCTAAATTCAGATAAGCAGAAAAAAATAAGCCCTGACTCAAACAGGGATTAGAATTATGAGCTTTTTCCCAGCCTTTCCAACACAAAGCCAAACCTCAAACTCAGAAAGTCCCATTAGAATCTGTGAATGCATTGAACAGCTTTGTTGCTTGTGCCCATCATGAAAGTAGGTTAAGCTCACATTTGCATTATTAACACTGCACTTTTCAAGTATGTTGCCATTTATTTTCGAACCACTTTCCAATTTAGGCAGCAATAATGGCCCTTCTGAGAAGACCTTGACCTACCTAAAATGAATACGCACCATGACTCTTCATTCTTCTATACGACCCTACTTTGCATCATTTTAGAGAACTAGTTCCTCTTACTATTCACCAGATTATAATGATCACCTAGATAAGAGGTTCTCTATGCCTGACCATTGTGCCCCTCTGAGGACACTCAGCGAAGTCTGGAGCTATTCTGCATTGTCACAAATAGGATCCAACAGAAAGAGTGGCTATAAGCCTTGGCAGGCAGGGCGGGGTGCAGGAGGCAGGGAACAAAGCCACAGATACTATTTGCATCCTAATGGCTCATGGCAGTCCCCACTACTTATCCTCCAGCAAGAGTCTCCAAGGAAATTGTCAACACCCCAGGCTGAGAAACCCTGCTCCTGTCCAGCGTGACCCTCTGCCCACAGTCTGTGAACCAGGCTCACTGGGACACAGTCACACCCACATACACACACAGCGGCCACAGTGCTATCACTGCAACATTAGCAACATAACCGAGGCCACGTGGTCATGGGCCTTTGCAGGCCAAGCTTTCTGACTCCCATCCTGGGATGGATGGGTTGTCCTCTCCACAAGAATTACAGACGATGATCCCTTTGCCTTTTCACTCTGCTGACTGCTGCCTTTGCTGCACAGAACCTTTCTAGCGTGACGAGGTGGTACTTTGCACATGCTTTGCCTTGGGTATCATAGCCAAGAAATTGTTGCTACCACTAATGTTATAAAACTTTCCTCATGTGTTTTCCTCTAAGAGTTTTATAGTTTTCAGTCTTAATGAATCCTTCAGTTCACACTGAGTTGATTTCAGGGTGTAGTGTGAGAAGCACAAATGGCCCCCAGGTCTACAAACAGAGCCGAAGTATCACCAACCAGAAGAGAAATGCAAACTAAGCCGACATGAGCTATCACTTCATACCTGCAGAATCTTCACTATAAAAATCAAAAAATAACAAATACAAATGAAGATGTGAAGCAATTAGAGCTTCCATGCAACATTTTTGGGAAAGTAAAATGGTGCAGCTTCAATGAAAAACACTAGGGACATTCCTCTAAAAATTCAAAACAGAGGGGCTGGCATGGTGGCATTAATAGCCTTATCCTCCACCCTGGAGCCCTGGCATCCCATGTTGGTCCACTTCCTGATCCAGCTCCTGCCAATGGCCTGGGAGAGCAGTGAGGGATGGCCCATGGCTCTGGACCCTACACTCACATGGGACACACAGAAGAGGATCCTGCCTCTCAGCTTTGGACTGTCCAAGCTCTTCTGTTCACTGCAGCCGTTTGAGGAATGAACCAGCAAATAGAAGATCTCTCCCTCTCTCTTTCTCCTTCTCACTAAGTTGACTTTGCAAGTACAATAAATATAGCTTTAAATATAATATACTGAAATGGAATTACCAAATGATCCAGCAATCCTGCTTCTGACTATTTACCCAAAGTGCCTGAAATGGGATCTCCAAGAAATATTGACATTCCTAAATTCATTATCAGAATTATTCATCATAGCCAAGAGTTAGAAATAACTTAAAAGTCCACGGACACGGGCCCGGCACGGTGGCACAGTGGTTAAGGTCCTCACCTTGCAGGCCCAGGATCCCATATGGGCGCCGGTTCTATCCCGGCAGCCCAGTTTCCCATCCAGCTCCCTGTCTGTGGCCCGGGAAAGCAGACGAGGACGGTCCAAGGCTTTGGGACCCTGCACCCGCGTGGGAGACCAGGAAGAGGCTCCTGGCTTCGGATCGGCATAGCATCGGCTGTTGCGCTCACTTGGGGAGTGAATCATTGGACGGAAGACCTTCCTCTCTGTCTCTCCTCTCTGTATATCCGCCTTTCCAATAATAAAAATAATAAAAATAAATCTTTAAAAAAAAAAGTCCATGGACACATGGATAAGGGAAAATGTTGCACATATACATCGTGGAACGTGATTCAGCCTTTAAAATGAAGGAAATGAAAGATGGGGCTTGCTGCAGTGCTTAGAAAGTGACTTAGATGAGTGCACTCCATACTCGAACAGCTGGAGTCCAGTTCCAGCCTTTGGACATCTGAGCAGTGAACCAACAGACCAGTAGGTGGAAGAGATTCCTCTGTTTCACTCATAAATAAAGAATTTTTTAAAAAAAAAAAGAAGAGGAAACCCTTTCATGGTACTGCAGCATGGATGAGCCACCAGTACATGATGGAACATGAAACAAGCTAGTTACAGAAGAATAAGTACTATACACGGCTCTTTGATAAGAAGCCAAAAACCAGGGGACTTTCAGAAGGAAGGAGACTGGCTTCCAGGGACTACAGGGACAGGGTCGGGGAGCTGCTCTACAGTGAGTAGAGAGCCTCAGTTAGGCAGGATGAGCAAGACCTAATGAGGCACCGCACAGCAGCGTGCACCTGCTGAACAGTACCATCACGTGCACTT